GTTTTGGTTTCAATTTGTAGCTTGACACCAATGTTTGTGCAGCATGGCAGTTGCACATTAAGAGCTCATGGCACCTGTGATGTGTGTACAACCTCCTGGAATTTGTCCTTCTCAACTTCCTGGCCCTTGGGACTACACATGCAAGCACAGCATCGAAGCATTTGAGTCAAATTAACAGAGTCACGAAGTTTCCTTGCAGAAACAGAATATTTGATCCTTTTTCTTTTTTTACACATGATAATAATGACGCAATGACCATTCAAGGCATGTTGTTTGATGGTATTATTAACAAACAACCCAACTTTGCTCATTTCTGGGTCAATGATATTAATGAACAGAGAGAGGTTATGCTGCATTAGCATTAGAAATGTGTTCTGAATACACAAGGGTAGTACTRTGCTTACTGTAGAACCATTATGGAGGCAAAATAAAAACCTTCYTGTAAGATAAATAACGGAACATGTAACAGCCAGATGCAAGCAAGAAAAAATAAATTGTGCTTTGGGAAAAGCTGGTCTTGAGGAGGGAAGAAGGCAGGACAGAGTTTCTGAGTCAGGAGGATACATTCAGCTTATAGGGGGTTTTTAAAATGTGGAAAGTTCCTGAAGCAGCAAAGAAATGCAGAGTGGGACAGATTTCACCAGRGCCAGGTCAAGGAAAGGTCTGAAGAACAACACCAGGGATAGTAATAGAATTATTTTTTTTTTCCCAAAGGGCTGTCAAAGTCACTGTTCTCAAATGTGATAGACAGGTGCTCTCAGATGGATGTCAAAGATTGCAGGAGTCTAAATGAATGGTGAGATAAGAACRAAAACACCCCAAACAAAAAGAACAGGAACCTTTTCCTGTTAACAGAACTAATTATCATGAATTTTAATCTTTGAGACATCCTGCTGCATTAAAAGTTCATGTCTATTACCTGAAGGTTTTTGCTCTGAAAGCTCAGCTATAATCATTACACAAAAGGTCTTTCTCCAGATCTCCTGCATTACCTGGATTAATCTGGCTGAAAACCACCATGAGACCTAAGTTTCTCAAAACATTTTTATACATCCTTGTTTTATTAACCTTTCTTGACAAAAAAAAAAAAAATCAACTGAAGTTCTGTATGGAAACAGAGTTTGTGTCCTTCTGTACTTAAAAGAAAACAAAAACCAGGCTGTTCCTTAAGTTTGCCTTTAAAATGTCATTGCTCCATYTCAACTGATTTACCTACTCCTAAAACCAAGCTACCCCTCCATACAAATATTTCTTTCTAGAGCCGTGACATATCCTGACATATATTGCCTATTCAAAACAAGCAAGTATTGAAAAAACCTTTTTAAGTCACTACATTTTACACCACTGAAAATATAAACCAAAAAATAGAAATCACTTTCCAGATAATAGTTTTTCTCTAGAAATTATAATATTCTGAAACAAAGGTATTCAAAAAACCAGAATAGTCCTGGACAAATCAAAGGTTTGGGAGATGATCAGCCAGGTCTTACAGGCCAAAACTCTATTTAAAATGTCACAATAAGCACAGTGCAAGGATGTGATGTGCTCAAGCTGTGGCTGAATATTTCATCCACAGACAGTCTGTGGATCATGGACTTCAAAGTTTTCTCTACATAAGTAGGAYCTTTTCCTGTATTTTTGTTTTAATCATACTGCTCAGAAGAATAGGGATATTTGTAATATGCTTATCAACACCAAGAGCCCCCAGAGAGTTTTGATTGGGTTTTTTCCCTGCAAAATAATTTTTTCCATAATGATTCAGCAGCTGGTCATTTGAAAGATTTATTCAGTTCCTATTAATGAATTTCTGTGGCTCAAAACCAAACCAACTGCTACCACTTTCCAACACATTTCCCAGGCTTTTTGAGAGCTCTAGATATTTTTGAAGTAAACTTTAATTTTTCAAATGATGGAACTAGGAGAACCAAGAGTGCTTTGCACAGCAGGAATGCTGGGGGATTTCAGCTTTAAAACCAGGAGCCACTCTGAAATCTGGCATCACCTTTCAAAGCCACACTCATCAGCACCTTTGGGCCTGTGACTGAGAATCTAACTGGAAGCACAGCACACCCCCAAACCARCAAGAACAGATCAGATTTACTTATTTATGTTGAAGCAGAACAAATAAATAAATGAATCTATTTCCCAAGCACTACCAGCTTCAGGCAGGCCACGGCTCAGTCAGCTCAGCAGCTCGCTGACTCTGCTTTGAGCTGGCAGCTTTGACACCAAGTTTACAGCAGGAAAACCACAGTTCTGTGATGTCTGTACAGTCTGTGAGGGTTCTGCCCCACAGCTGTAGATAGAATACATATATATATAAAATATAGAACATATAGGCACCAGCTGGTGCAAACAGCCAGCTGCAGCTCAGAGTCATCCCAGGAGCCACTGCTACGCTTTTTCTACTTAACCCCGAGGAGGCAAGCATAGGGCTTTTACAGCCTGGACTCATCTGACCAATTAGAGATTTCCAAGCCAACTCTTTTGAGGTGTAATTTATTCAGGAAAGAGCTCAGACAAGCTATATCCAACACCTCCTTTATTTCCTCGACTAATAGGAGTCAAGGGTGCTTAGCAGAGACACAGACACCTGTGTTGTCAATGGTTGCAGTCAGGATCCAGCAGTTATCTCAAACCCTGTAATTACTCTCTGGCTGCATGTCTCAGAAAAAAAAAAAAAAAAAAAAAAAAAAAAAAAAAAGCAGCAGCACCACAAGGAAAATGATTCTAATAAATCCCAAGGCAAGGCAATGTTTTTGTGAAGTACCATGGGACCAGTGCAAGCAGACTGGAACTCACATCTTCAGGGCTCATAACTCACAACACAACCAGATTCTTCAGATGCTTCTGCTCCCTTGAAGGAGAAGCTGTGTCTGTGATTACACCAAAAATGCTTTCAACGTCCAGCTGTTTTACCCTCCTCATTAAAACTCACCCAGCTACCACACATTCCAAAGCACAGGAACAGACACACATTTACTAAGATTTATTTACACAAATCTGACCTAAATTCATGCTACTCATCCAAGATCAAATTCCATTCCAACGTGAGCAGCCAAAGCAAGTTAAACTTGCAATGTAAAGCRCTGCCAGAGCCCTATTTTGAGAAGTATCATTTCAGATTCATGCTGCTTTTGCACAGTGAGCAAAAGTCTATTCCTGGAGATTAGTTCTCCCATTTCATAGGGAAGATCTGTCTGGCCTATCACATCCTGCCTCCCAAGGAGGACATTTCACAGATACCCTGCAGTGATGGCGGGGTGAGCACTTTCTTGGGTTCTGTTGAAAAATTCTCAGCAGCCACTTGTCAGGCAGAGCCAGATGGTGGAAGGCAAATGAGCACTGCAAAGCCTTGACAAAGAAGGAGCTGATACCCCACTGCTGACTCAGAGAGCCATCTCTTCTCCACAGCACCTTCCTCCAAAGATACAAAACACAAGTTCCTAAACAGCCTTGAGCCTGGAGTACTGCACAGGGAATCTCAGCCTAGCACTAAACATTTTAGCCACTGAAATAACTCACTGAAGGTGCATCACTGCATCTTCCACACMAAAATAGTGTCCTGCTTTTTCTGCATTCCCTGAGGGAATTGCTGCAGCCATGAGAGYGTGTGGAAAGGACAGATAAAACATATCAAAGAGACTTTGATACACCTTACTCTCTGTGCAAGTATAGCCTCAGGATCACAGAGGAAGACTCCAACTACTTCCACAGCCTGGAAACACTGGAAGGAGTATTTACARCCTTTAAGAAAACCCAGTCTTCATGGCCTGAAACCCTACAGCCAGATTGCTTACCATCTGCCCAAGTAAATTGACCATTTGTCCTTRTTAGAGACAGCTGGGCAATTACAGCAATGAAGGTGGCACAGGCAGGGAGTGACATTTTTGGTTTGGGAACAGAGTTTGCAGCACTGAACATCAAAACATTCCTGATTATGAAGAGGGTGACATTTTAAAGTAAATAATGAAAACAGGAACTCACCAAACACAAGCCCTTTCAGAAGTTCAAGTTAAAGAAAGCCATTTTCTACAAGATGTCTTTCGTTCTTATTGAAGAGATTTGCACCACATGAAGGAATTTTGTCTCTACAATGCAAAGCATTCGTAGTCACTGGCCAGACTTTTACAGCATACACATTTGCCTTTTGATATAGGACATCTGTGAGCTAGCAACAGTAATAAATCTGAACGTTAGCACAGATAGTTTTCCACGGTTTAGGTCAAATGCTATCAAATTTAACTTATCAGCTTATTAAGATAAAACAAACCCTTTTGTCATTAACTTTCTGATTGGTTGCTGTTCCAGAATTTGGGACAGTAAATAGGGGTTGTTTCTTTTTTCCTATGGCATGGTGTGAATGCCTAATGCCCWCTGGTTATCCTTATAAATCATAAACAGGGAAATCACTGCTTGATCCCTCACTAGAAGAGGGGAATGTGATGATTTCAGCGTGTTTAAAACACACATTCCTGAAATACCTAACTTCTCTGTAATTTTATCACAGTGTAAGGCCTGAGCTTAGTGTTTAGGTTCCTTGATCTGCAACCWTACTGGTTTTGATCTTGTGAGACTTCAAGCTCTACAGTGACAGCTWTTGAGCTGGATACCTTGAGAGTTGTGGTATTGTCTTCCATAGACAATGGAAGCAAATACAAAAAATGGGATTCAGCTTTGCAGAGCTCTCTGCCACAGCAAACTGACCTTTTTTGGGTGCAGATTGCAGCATCCACCAGCCTTTTGCTGGTCTAACATATGGGAAAGAACAAGTTGTGCCCTTTGGAGAGAGGTAAAAGTGTTGCTATTGTAGAAAGGAGGACTTGAGCGTGCTCCAGAATGGCTGGAAGAGCTGCAGCAAATAAATTTTAGTCATAATGTGTATCACATCTCAGCT